TCTGGATGTTTTTCACAGAATCTGCATTTCGGGTCAACACAATTTTTCAGTCTGTATGTTTGGTAATTTATATTTAACAAGCATTGGTCCTTTGAAGCAAAAATAAAACCCTCAGTTTCAGCTTTTAACCCTGCGCTATGTAACCACTGATGGGTACGGCATTTGTCTACATTTGGTACGGGCGGAGTATTGTCCATGAAGCGGTTTATCTTGCCATCGTTTCTGTATCTGGTCAGTTGCTTTTGCCTTTGCTTTCTTTTTTAAGTTATTTTGTCGCATTTCTTCAAACATTAAAACACCATTTTGAAATTTTTGGCTTCCATTATTACTGAATAGAGTATCTTACCTTTTTCCTGTTCTTTGATACACATCATCATCCAGTATTCTGTAGTTTCCAGGTATCTTAGAAGGCTAATTGTTGTCGTTTTGTAAGACAATTATAGTTGAACTAATCCTCTGCCACCTTCGGATCTGGGCACACACAAACGATCAACATCAGTCTTGGGATGATGGATGGGGTGACAGGTGAGAAGATTTCTGGTTTTGGCGTCGATTCACTTAATGTCAGCTACGGTCCAGCTAAAGATGTTGAAACTGTATTGCACCCCAGGGACGGCAAATGTGTTTATGGCTGATATTCAGCTCTGTATTCCGTAGCAGAGGCACACGGTTGTAGTATTTCTCCTTCATTTCGCTTAGGTACCTATAAGTTTCTTCTTGTTCTAGTTGCCTAATATTTGCGGCAAAATCTAAATTTCTTGAGTGTGTTTCTGAAATTATGAGATTCTTCCTTTATTGAATGTTACTTTTGCACATTTATCCAATCTGAAGTCCATACCTATGTCGTCACTGAAACATTTTACAATATGGATGTGGCCCTTTGTTGAGATGTTGAGTGTTTCCGCGTGCGTGTATTGAAATAAGGACAAACACATACGTAGGGAAAAATACTGGTATAACTGAAGAGGTATTTACAACAGAGAGATTAGTAGTCAAACGAACGCGGGTTAGTCAGTAACAATCAGAAAGAGTATAAAGTCCAACTGTATCTTCCGGTAGAGAGACAGAAGTGTGATGGTCACCTGATCTTCCCAGAACTCTATAGAACTGTCCTATTAGTAGTAGAGAGATCAGTCCATTCTGATGAGAAGGTGGGTGCGCCCCAACACACTTCAACTCATTGTCGTTTTTTTGGCAAAAAGTTTGATTTCATCCATGTAGAGTAGGTTATTGAATACTTTCTTGTTTAGTTCGCATCCATAGCTATTATTGTTTCGTTCATGCATAGGAGCGGGGATTAGGGTCAGACAAAACAGAACGGGTAACAGGGGAAAGTCCTTGAAAGTTTCCTCAGTTGGAGGTGGCAGTGCCTCTGATGTGATTTGAATATAATGTGGTTTTCCACATAGCTATGCTGTGTTTGGAAATTTATTATTATTATTATTATTATTATTATTATTATTATTATTTCCTTTGATTTCTGGCGTTTACACATTTCTTTCCGGGTCCCGCCCAGGGACCTAAGATTAGAAATGGCATCATGGCACTTTCCACTGACAAAAAAAAAAAGAAAAAAATATTATTATTATTATTTTTATTTCCTTTGATTTCTGGCGTTTACACATTTCTTTCCTGGTCCCGCCCAGGGACCTAAGGTTAGAAATTGCATCATGTCACTTTCCACTGACAAAAAAAAAAAAAAAAAAAATTACATAGATAAAGCCCTTCGTAAAGTGTGGGCTGTACTTGTCAGAACAATTTTTTGTGTCTCCTTGAGGCATGGACTTCCAGGAATCCCTTCAATTAGTCTACTGCAATCTTTTCCAACCAGTCCTAGGGCTCCAACTACAACAGGGATTGTTGATGTTCCCATATGCCACATTTTCGAGATTTCTATTTCAAGGTCCTTGTATTTTGAATTATTTTATTATTATTATTATTATTAATATTTATTATTATTATTATTATTATTATTATTATTAATATTTATTATTATTATTTTATTATTATTATTATTATTATTATCACGTCTATCGGCCTATGCATTATCTATTTTAAGGAAAGCAAATCCCCACCACTCAGATTATATTTCTTGTGAGTCCATGGAAATTTCTGATCTAAGGATAGCATATATGAGAGGTTTCAGGTACTTACGGGAGCGGTACAGGGTAGCGACCATTTTCAAGTATTCATTTCATATATATATATATATATATATATATATATATGAAAAATATTTTACTTTTGAATGGGAGTTTATTGAAGAATTAAGAAGGAAAGGGGAACAAGATTATTTAAAAAAAATTATGGGTATGTCCTAGTTGACCAATCAAAAGACAGGTCATAGCTAAAGCAGAAAAGTAAAAAAAATGTAGTTTAGAGGTTAGGGGTGTGTCTCTTATACATACTTGTCTAAATGACATTTTTAAACGTGTTATCATAGCATCCGGTTAAGAATACAATTTTAAGATACAATGAAATAATCATATATATATATATA